TGCCCTTCACTGTGATTTCTCCTGTTTCTGAATTTAGATCAAAAATATTTGACGGATCTGTATTTCCTCGTTTTATCAATGAATACAGGATCTTACTGTTCATGCCCTCGTCTAAATCTGTTGCATTTAACTTCATTACCACTGTTCCATGAGCAGTATTTTCAGGTACACGTACTTTATACAGCGATTTGCTAAAAATGGGAATATTATCATTTACATCTAATACATTAATACGTATTTGTAAAGATCCCGATCTAGCAGGTTTACCTCCATCCACAGCCGTCAACAGAAGTGTGATCACCGACTGTTTCTCTCGATCTAAAGCTTTTTGCAGCACTAACTCAGCAGACACTCCGTGATCTCCACCGCTCTGTACATCAAGCGAGAAATATTCATTTTGGCTCAGCTTGTAGCTCTTTACTGAGTTACTGCCTATGTCTGCGTCTTCTGCTATTGGGAGAAGATATCGTTCTCCAGTTAAAGATGATTCTGAAATATTCAAAGAACACGCTTTTTCAATAAATGCCGGCGAATTATCGTTTCTATCTAAAACATTGACCTCTATGCGGTGCGCACTCATCGGATTGTTTAAAACGGCTTGTATTTTGATCGAACATTTAACCACACTCGGACAAAGCTCCTCTCTGTCTATCCGTTCATCAACAAAGATGTTCCCGGTCCGCAAATTCACGTCAAAATATTTCTTACTGTAACTCGAAACAACACGTAAGTCCCTGGTCGCTAGTTCCTGTAAATTGATGTTCAAATCCTTTGCAAGGTTCCCCACCACGGTGCCTTTGTCCACCTCCTCGGAAATCGAGTAGGATAACTGCGAAGCCGCCCAGTTGCAAAGACAAAGAAACACAACAATGTGAATCCAGCCGCATTCCTCTTTCCGTCGAAAATACATTGTTGATGCAACAAAAGACCCGAACCCAATCGATCATCTATCCTCGGTACAGATACATCCGTCCAGAGAAATATTGTTGCGGGAAGCTCCTGTCCTTCTCGCCACGACACCTTCCACGGGTGTACTAATGGCCGATGACGCGGTTTCATTTTTTCCCATGCAGGGAGGAGTTTTGGAAGTACAAAAACTTTCATTCATGGTCTCATGCGACATCATGTGGTGAATTATATGTATACAAATACAATCCATTGTATTACATAGGCATATAATTTCAAGTGTGATAAATTATATGAAGTCTGGTTTAAACATGTATTTCAATATCTAGAGTGCGAAAACTTTAAAGATGATTTTTTTCAATCGCTTAATGTACAATATATCCAGAAATAAAATGACTTCGATTTTGATTTCAGAGTGTACTCGCTATACTCAAACAGTCCCATCTTAAGAATGAATCATGAATTAAAGAAACGAGTTTGATTCACCGCAGAATGAAATACAGAAACCAGGTATTGTCAACACATAGTCAAGAACCACGGACAGCGCCTTTTCTGACTGCATTCAATGTCAGGAGCTGCTGCAGATGTTAGATCACGGCAGGATGATACCAGCTATACACCCGAGGTAGCGAACTAGCCATGTTGACTGCTGATTCAATTCAGGTACAGAACAGCTTAGACCTATGACATCACTAATTGCCTTCTTTCAAAAGACATAACAGCAGCAGGTTTTGCAGCTGAATTGCAGACAAACAGCACCACGAAGCGCTCTATATAAAATCATTAGGGTAGTTTGGTATTCCAACTTTAACATGCGAGCTGTTTACGTAAAATCTAACGATTCAAGTTGTACACATATTTTTTCATATTAAAATAATGTAAATCGTTGGACTCATAAGCAGCCATGAAATTACATTATATTTGTATGATAGGGTTATTATGTTCTACAAGCATTCAGCACATATGGCCTACCTTGTCTTTGTTGGGTAAAGTCTGAGTTCTGTTAAAAGTGTCTCCTCCATTTATACTGATCAGTTCACCATCTACAGGAGGAAACGGTCCGGGGAAAAC